TCAGTCACCTCTGTAAACTAAAATCACCTCTTCAGGTCTTACTTCCTCTAATCAAACCTCTCCAAACTAAGGGATTACTACGCTTAAATTCAGGGTTCATCAACTCTCTTTTGCTTCCTGCTCAGACTCTCAACAGCTTCCCAGCATCCATCAAATAAAAGGTCTGAATCACTTAAACACGGAATTCAGATTGCACAGAACTATTACTGCAACATTGCCACACAATTCCGTTTATACCTCCTTCATGCCAGACCTCTAGGCTACTTTTAGTTCCCTGGTCTACATGGTCCCCACAGTTTCCAGCCTCTAAGTGTTTGCTCATACTGAAGAGCATTCTTTGAAAAGAACTATCCGCTGCCATACTGCTAAGTCTTGCCATTCTTTCCAGTGTCATCTAAGGAAAAGTCACCTTCTCTGGAAAGCCTTTCTTGCTTCATCCATTTCCCTCTTGTAGAGCCCAGGGAATCCTACCCTATCTCCACTATTGCATAGGTCTTACCCCACTAGGTCATAAGCACCTTGAGGGAAGGGGTCACATCATTTTATCACATCGCCTCTTGGTATAACTGGTTCTGGAAGGTTTATGGAAGGATGGGTGGATGAAAAGTAGCACGTGTTCCTTATTCAGAATAGTGAAGTGGTGATTTAAAATAACCCAATGTTTTTCAAGGATCTGGGAAAGCCTTCCCTGGGCTGTGATCAGGACTCTGTCATCCCCCACCCCGGCATTGCAGTGGGCATGGAGGTGGGCCTCACCTTACAGTAGCTCCACTGTGTCCAGCTGGCTATCGGGAGAACAGGCAAAACTGGATGCTGTCCACACTCTCCCTAGCCCACATCCCTGCTCAGCTCTCTTCTCTCTGGAAATGCTTGGAAGAGCCTGGTCTCTAGGCCATAAGTACTTGGAGGGTGGTGGCTCAGGGAGGGTCCTAATGGTCTCTCTGTTCCTCATAGTTAAGCAGCCTGTCTCACTGGCTCAGGGGTCACATGCAGTTGATTTTGCACCACCAAGAAAACAGATAAATGCTGATTCTACAGTTCTCCTTGGGATTCAGGCAATGGGTCTGACTTTTCTTATCACCTCAAGGCCAATGCCTCAGGTGGACCAGTAAAAATGTTCTTAATTTTTCTGTTGCTCCTCTTAAAGCCCTGCTTTGGAAGGCCACAGCCAGCCTGGTGCAGCCAGAGCCCCAACCAGCCCCATGTTCTGTGAGCCTTGAGCACACACCATCAGTGCACCCCCACCTCACAAGGGTTCCTAAGCCTGTCAGCTTGGGCTGGACACCATCTCCCCCATGTACCAGCTGCATGATCTAAGGCAGCTTAGTTTTCCCATCTATAAAATGGGGACACTAGCACCTGGCTCGTGAGGAGGCAATGAGGACAAAAGGAGTTAGTACAGAAAGCTTTCTGAGCACGATGTGGCCTCCAGGGAGAGCCAGGGGCTATGATTATTTTCATTACTAGGTCAGAAGCCCAGCCTTTACCAAGGAAACCCTCATCACTTTGTGGGCCCCTTCTATTTGTTTTTTTGAGACAGAGTCTCACTTCGTCGCCGTCGGTGGAGTGCAGTAGCATCACATCTCACAGCAACCTCAAACTCTTGGGCTTAAGTCTCTTGCCTCAGCCTCCCAAGTAGCTGGGACTACAGGTGCCCACCACAATGCCCAGCTACTTTTTGTTGTAGTTGTCATTGTTGTTTAGCAGGCCCAGGCCAGGTTTAAACTCCACCAGCCCCGGTGCATGTGGCTGGCACCTTAAACACTGAGCTACAGGCGCCAAGGCCTTTCTGCAGCTGAGCTCAGTCAGCCTCCAGCCTCTGCTGGGCCTGTCTCCTCCCATCCCTCCCCACCACACTCCATCTTGCTGCAGCTGTAATGCCAGCGGGGAAGCCTTGGCTACTCCCCAGGCTACAGCTCCCAGGTTACACCTTCCTCACCCCTGCTGGGCAGTTCCTGCTCTGGGTGACCTGGAAGCATTTACTTAGTCTCTGCAGCCTGTCTTTCCAGAGCAAACTCTGAGCATCATTGGTCTGACAATGATGATTCCGTAGGCTTCAACATTAAGCACTGTGTATGGTTCAACCAAAAATACTGAAGATGATGTAACAGATCCTTTTCTTTAAAACATTAACTCCCCAAAGGCATGTAAAATATGTAGAAAATAATCTTTGTGGTATTTTTTACATATCCCTGATAAAACCTTAAAGCTTATACAGATTAATCACCCTGAGGATACTGGCTACCACTTCTGTCCTGCCCCTGTCCCATAACTGTGGGACAGCACCTGCCCTGGGCTGTTGGGCCAAGGGCACAGCAGGGAGGCACAGGCTTCACTCCCAACACAGCCACCTCCCTCTTCTCCAATAAAGGATGTCTCTTCCACATCTTTTTTTTTGGCCGGGGCTGGGTTTGAACCCACTACCTCTGGCATATGGGGCTGGCACCCTACTCCTTTGAGCCATAGGCACCACCCTGTTCCACATCTTTTAAATTCTGAATTATTAATCCTTAAGTCAAAAAATGCGGAGTCAAATTTCCTTCACAGAAGCAATGATTTTATTCCATTTGAGAAAAGTAAAGGATATAGACATTCATACTTTGACTGGCAAAGTGATTTTTTCCCATGGGAACCTATACCGTGTCTGGTGAAATCACTGTGGCAGAGGTTAGAGAATCCTGTGGCCCTCAATGGCAGAGTGAGCTGGGCAGCAAGAGCTCTTTCCAAGAATGCAGACTTGGAGAATGCAGGTGTCCACAGCCTGGGAAGGCTCCTAGAGTGGCACTGGGCAATGGCCCTGGCTGTTCAGCTTAAGACATGGCTGCACACAGCTCCGAAGCACAATACAGCTGCTGCTCCTTTAATAGTACAGCAGTTTGAATTTGGGCTTTTTCAGTTCTAGAAATGGCATCGTCTCAAAAACGCTGATGAGGCAAATATGAGGTAGGGCTCATTACAACTGTAATTTGTCACTCTTTAAAACAGGGTAACACCAAGACTATTCCACAGCACTTTTGCCAGGGACACACAGCACGTTACTTCCTAGAGCCAGTCCCCCCTCAAGCAGGTGGGAAACTACTATAGCCAGGCACCCCATGCCTATCCCAGAGGCTCCCACACTACAGGTCCCTTGGCTGAGGCCACCCCTTCCCCCAAAGCACATCCAACATGGGGGCCCAGACAGGAATGCCATGAAGACACTCTCAGCCAGCCCACTAAGTCTTCAAGAAACAGCCCCGTGTTACATGTAAATGGCTCTTGCTGCACCTTCCTGGCTGAGGGCCTGGTGTTTTAGGTCATGCAGCCTTGCATTAGGAGAGGCCCCTCTCCAGGGCCCATGTGATTGAGACACTGTGGTGACTTCTGCGACATGTCCATCTGTCCCAGTAAATGAAATCTAGCAGCTTTAGAAGGCTGATGACAGCTGACATACACAAGAACCAACTGCTAAAACTGGGCTGATTCTTGAAAAACAACAGCTTAGTTCCCTGTGTGAGTGGTCTGACTGAACTGGATGTCTGAAGAGGTGACAGTTGGCACTGGAATCACTAGTCTGGGGGCTTGCCCTTGAATTGTACCCACTGCCATCGAGCCATTGGGGACAAAAGTTGTGTTCAAGTTACTAGGGGTCTCACTAGTAGCTTGTATTTTAAAATAAATTAAATAAAAGACTGGCAAAACAACCCCAATTAGGAGCATGATGAAAACAGCATTCCACCACTGAATTCCACAATCTGCACCACTTATCCGTGTCTTTGCAGGAGGTGGGAGCAGCAGCAGATCAGAGGTCTCCACGTAGCAACTTTCTTGCAAAAACATTTCTGACTGCACTGCACGCTCAATGTTCTGGTCAATTCCTTTAAAGAAATCTGTCAGTCGCTTGGGTTGGGCATCAAAGTCTGCAGCTTCTCTGTCTGGATCGGGCAGTTCCATGATCACTTTGGTTTCTGAAGATGGGTTCGGGAGGGGTTTCAATTCTTTGTGGGTCTCTGTTAGGATTCCATGGTTTTTCACTGGAATCTTAATAGATTTCAAAGCAAATAAGTCCTGTTCTCTGATGAAGTTGTTGACTTTCTTGATATCTGCAACCTGGGAAAGCCAGGAAGACAATCCTAAGATATATAAAGCTCCTTAAAATTAGTATCCAGAAAGTGGCTCTTAACTTTTCTGGGTGATGATCCAAGCTCACTTTTAAGAATCTGACAAAGACTGGAAAATTGCATCTACACACAGAATTAGTTTAGGCTAAAGATATGTAGTTTAATAATCAAAATTTCCTATAGATTTACAGGTTTGAATAATATAAGATCAGCTTTGGCAAATAGATTTATTTTTAACTGTTTAAAGTGTGGCTGCAACAAATGCTTCTAGGTAAGACACAATCATGGCACTAAAATAAACACTTGTAGCCCTTTTACTTCTTTTAACTTTAGAGGAAATAGTGCCCCCATCTGCCCAGCTTCCCTCTCCTACCAGAACCAAAATAAGTAGTGGGTAGACATTAGCATTTGCCAAATGAAAAGCCTCAACCGGCTCTGTTGACACATTCTGAATCTACTTTGCCTGTAAAAAGTTTTGAGAAATGTGCCCTCAGGATTTTCTTTCCCATCATGTGAGATGTATAAACTTACTTTTTAAATAAAAGTCTGTGCTTAGTTTACTTTGAAGATTTCACAACACTTTTTAGTCATTAGAAACACGTGGGGAATCAAGAATCAAGTTGGAAGCTATGTGCTGAGATCTTCTATTTCAACATCAGAAGAAACAAACACTGCTATGAGTCTTACCAGGTAACAAAGTTCATGGCAAACTCCTCTATAATCAAACATGAAAATTTAAAACATGGGGGAAATGTAAGTTAAAAGGTAAATCTCTCTCCAGCTAATGTTTGAAAACTTTCCAAAAATATCAGAGATGGACTCTAATGTTTTAACTTGAAAGTACACTTAAACTGGAAAATAACTACAGCCACAAACCTTTAAAAAGAGCCTCATTGTAATCAATAATTTCCACTATTTTAAATATTTAGCAGCTGCTTTAATTACCTAATTCAAATGAGATAGGGGACATTTTTAATTTATTGTGTCCTCAAAATAATGCATGAGAGTCTTCGCCCCTAATAAATTTAGAGAAAATTTATTTACTTCAAATAGGAACACTGATCACTTATCAGAGGTATTATGTATTCTATATGGTATTATCCATTTCATGAAGCCTATACCATCTATTCTGGTCTTTGTGAGGCAAGACATTTGCAGCCAATGTTCTATAAACCATACGCTCTGTCTAGAGTGCTGATTATAAGAGTCAAATATAAATGTCAATATAATTTAAAGACCACTATGTGTTCTTGGAAACCTATATATTTCCCTGGCAAAGACTGCAATACCTCACATGCTGTCCTTAGCTATTTGGACCTTGGTAGATAAATAACAGATACTTTAAGGAAGAAAAGGATTTTCTTATTAAATAGCTTACATTGTGCCTTAGAGAAGCCCATAGAAATCTGTAGCACAGTGTTAGCAAAATGACAAATAATTTTGATCTAGGAGAAAATGTAGCAATTCTATAAATACTTTCCTACTTACTTTGTCATTCTTAATCACTCTGAATGCTAAAAACATAATTAAAGAGAAAAACAGGGTTATATAGAGATACAGCACACAAAAGCTAGGTCATGCAGTTCTAAAGAAGGTAAATCTCCTAGTTACTAGATAAGCTGCTACCAAGAAAAGTTTCAGAAAAATAAAAGGAACAAGAGACACTAGCATGCCAAAGAAATCTTGGGTAAATCTGCCTGGTATCACTGTCCCTATGAGATCTAAAATAAAATGTGCTCAAAAGAAAAAAGAAGGGGTTTTAGAATTTCAGTGTGGAGAAATGAGGAAGAGTAGAGGTACTCTGCAGGGAGGGAAATGCACCTACAGGTCCTGCCATGGGCCTTCCACCTGCGGCTAAGGAGAGGAGTCCTCTACTGCTACCACAGGCCTCCCTTTCCAGGGCAGGAAGGGCAGTGGGGCCTCCCACTCTGCAGAGCAGTGGAGGGGTGTCTTACTTTGCAGCCATACTGCAGAGCCAGCTTGTTGAGGCTGTCCCCCTGGGCCAAGTCCCGCTGCAGTAGCACCACTTCGCCTGCTCCCAGCTGGTGAGGATGGTGGGTACCGCTCTTCTGGCGTTCCTTGCCCCTGGGTCTCAGAACCACAGGGTGCACCTCTTCCTCAGAGGAGTCCCCGGAGTCCCCACTGCCATTCTTAAACATGTAAACATGGCTAGTTGGAGTCTTGCAGACAACAGCTGGGCCTTGGAAGGTCTTGGTTAATGCTTCCATCTGCCTCATTTTCTTAACTAAAAACCAAACCCCAGGGTCAATTCCACATAAGGCACAGTTGCCCCTTTATGGCCTCATTAAAGAGAAATGTCTTGGGCAGCACCTGTGGCTCAAGGAGTGGGGCGCTGGCCCCATATACCGGAGGTGGCGGGTTTAAACCCCAGTCCTGGCCAAAACTGCAAAAAGAAAAAAAAAAAAGAGAGAGAGAGAGAAATGTTTTATTAGAGGATATTCCTTTTCCTAATCATTGCAAATCCTAAACAAATATCAGTACAAAAAAAGAATACAGCTCATGCTGGCTAAGACGGAAGGAGATAGGCAACATGTCCTTTTGTTCTAATTGCATACTGTTTGTTCAGAAAACAAAAGAATCCCATTTCTGGCCATGTGTGGTGGCTCATGCCTATAATCCTTGCATTTTGGGAGGTTGAGGAAGGTAGATGGTTTGAGCTCACACGTTTGAGACCAGTCTGAGCAAAAAGCGAGACCCTCGTCTCTATGAAAAATAGGAAAACTGAGGCAAGAGGATCACTTGAGCCCAAGAGTTGCAGGTTGCTGTCAGCTATGATGTCATTGCACTCTACCCTGAGCAACAGCTTGAGATTCTGTCTCAAAAAAAAAAAAAAATCCCATTTCTGGTGCCGCCCATAGCTTAGTGGCTAAGGTGCCAGCCACATATATCCAGGCTAACAGGTTCGAATCCAGCACAGGCCAGCTAAACAAGGACAACTGCAACAAGAAAAAAATAGCCAGGCACTGTGGTGGGTGCCTGTAATCCCAGCTACTTGGGAGGCTGAGGCAAGGGAATCTCTTAAGCCCAGGAGTTTGAGGTTGCTGTGAGCTGTGACTCCACCACAATTTACCAAGGGGGACATAGTGAGACTCTGTCTCAAAAAAAAAAAAAAATCCTATTTCTTCTCCCCTTACCCCTCATTCATAGCTGTGTCCCCCCCACATTCACATGTGTAAGAAACAATTTCTATTTTGGGTCTCAGAGTAGTAAAGTAGTGGTTAAGATCCTTGCAATGAAAAGTAAGGACTGTTCCCGGTTTCCTTGTACCAAGAAACTTAAACTCAGAACCTTTGTATTAACACAAGGAGTTCTCATTCAATACTTTGCATTTCAAAGTATCTTCACTAAGAAGGGTACTTAAGAGCTTAGAACTGTAAGACTCAAATGCTCTTATTCTGACACAGCTTGACAAAGTTGTGGGGGGCATGTCAGGCGGGGAAATGCCTGTCAAACTGAGAAATTCTTCCAGTTTCCTTACAGGTTACTTTGCAGCCATTACCTTGCACCTTGAGCCAAATGGCCAAAGCCACAATACCCTTTCCCTTCTCCAACTGTCCAGATGAGATTCCAGAAATGAAATCTCAAACCTAAGGAAGACAACCACAGGGGAGCGGCCCATTCGGTGACAGCCCGTGGCGCCGGCGCGAGCCGCGCCCAGCCTAGGCCCTCGGGAGCCACCGTCCCGACACTCGGACCTCCGAGCCGGGTCCACCCCGCCTGTCTCCCTTCGGGTGGCGGAGGGTCACCGGCGGAACCTCGGCGGCAGCCCCAGGTCGGGCCCAGCTTTCGGGTCCGAGCTTAGGTCGTGCAAGGGGCTCCAGCCGCTCTCAGGCCCACGTCCCTCGGAGCCCTTCCGAGAAAGGGGCGGCCGCCGAAAGAAACGCCAACAAGAAGTCGGGGAGCGGCCGACTTCCACTAGGCTTCCACTGGCGGAATCTCAAAATTCCACAAAGGCACGACCCCCGACCTCTGAGCTCCAGCCCCTGCAACTAGGGTCAGCCCCCGACAGTCGTGCTCAGCGCCCCTCCAGCTGCACGAGGGTCGCCTAGGAGTCCAGGACTCGACTGGAGGCCCGCCCCCGGGCCGTGGAGCGAGACCAGGCCCCCGCGCCGCCAGGAGACCCCGGTCGGGACCGCGGCTCCCTCCTGCAGGCCCCGGTACCTCAGCACCCAGGCTCCGCCGCAACCCGCCGCCAAGGCCACCACTTCTGTCGATTGGCTGCGGAAGTCAGCAGCTCCGGTGGGCGGGGCCTGAGAAGCAGCCAATGAAATCAACGGCGGGCGGGCGACAGAAAGACCAAGCGGAGAGAAAAGTTCAGCGCGGGACTGGCGGGGCCCCTATGAGGGCGGGGCTCAGCTCCCGGACTTGACCCTCGTCCCGCCTTCCCTCTTGGGTCTACCAGAGCTGCGCCGGCCTGCGGGCCTTGGTGGTGGATTTCTCGTGGACTCGCGACGGGAAAACTTTAACTCTTTCCTTACTGTCTGCTCGGCAGTCTGCTGAGGTTCAGGGCTGTCTGCTGAGCCTCAGCTTTCTCACCAATAAGAGCCCTTGACCCCGCCTGTGTGTAGTGAAGTGTGGCTCAAGGATGGATTCCCAGTAAAGTGGGTGGCCCCCGAGACCTCCCGTGGAGAAGGGGCCCCTCTGTCTGGACCCACATGGGTAAGGGAGTCTTTCTGCGGGGTCTGGCATCCTGAGTCTTTGAGGGCCAAACCTGAGCAGGAGTTTGCCCTGCCCCACCCACGAGAGAATAAGCAAGAAAAATTCACGAATGTAGAAAATTGACCCCTACGACACGTACCAAAAAAAATAGGTAAGTAATATGTATCCATTGGTGGACATTTGATAAATGATAAAAGTGATATTTAAAGTGATACAACATGATTAAAATATGTGTCCACATATATTAAATATCCAGTGGTAGACATTTGATAAAGGATAAAAGTGATATTTAAAATGATATAAAGTGATAAAAAGATTTTAAAATGATTCAAAAAGTGATATTTAAAAAATGAATTAATAGTGATAGAAGAATTATCACACACTAAGGCACAAATGTTGAAAACTTCTCCTTGAAAAGGAAAACCAAAACTAAAAAGCAGATAATCAGGGGAAAATAAATGTAACAGGATAAAGAATTAATTAAGATCCTTAATTGACAGAGAACTCATTAAATGAGTAAGAAATATCCTAAAACCCCAGTAGATCAATGGGTAGACAGCATGAGCAGGTAATTCATTGAAATATTCAGATGGTCAAGGGAGGCGGAATTAAAGCCCACTAGCAATCAAATTAAACAACAAACAAATCAAAACAAGATCTCAGAAACTTTCCATCATTTTCCATCTCACTTAGAGTAAGTCTCAAAAAAAAATTTTTTTTTTTTTTTTTTAGACAGTCTCACTGTCTTGCCCCTGGTAGAGTGGCACGGTGTTATAGCTAACAGCAACCTCAAACTCTTGGGCTGGAGTAATCCTCTTGCCTCAGCCTCCTGTAGCTGGGACTACAGGCACCTGCCACAATGCCCTGCTATTTTTTTAGAGACAGGGTCATGAACTCATGAACTCAAGCAATCCGTCTGCCTTGGCCTCCCAAAGTGTTGGGATTATAGGCGTGAGCCACCACACCCAGCCCTAAGTCTCAAATTCTTAATTTTTCCTTTTATGCACACTGACTTCTTTCTGGCCTTTAGACACCCTGATCTCCCACCTCTGATCCTTCACATTTGCTTCTCCCTTTACCAGGAATGTCCTCTCAGCTGCTGGCATGGCTGGACCTTCTGACTTTTAGGCCTCAGATAAGTTGCCTTCTCATGGTTATAGAAGTTAAGGTCCACCCCTTATGTGTAGGCACAGGCTCTGTGCTCTGTCAGAACATGATTCCTTTTTAGTCCTTCCCAACTTATTTACTTATCTTATTGCCAAGCTTCTCCTGCCACCAGCTATAACCTGTTTCATTCTCCATTCAACTTCCAGTGCCCAGCCCAGTGCTAGTACCTAGTTGTGACCACTTAATATTGGCTCAACAGGAGAGAGATTCTGTGACCTGACCTGAGATACAGAGATGTGGCAGCACCAAAATCCAAATCTATTCCATAGGACCAGCTGTCACCCACCAGCTGTACTTCTGGCCCAAGGCATCTGGCCATGGTCTGATGGGTTTGGCAAGTCCAAGAGCCAGCATTTCAAAGAGTGATTAATGGCAAGAGAAGTCAGAACAGAATTTGTAAGGCTGCATTATTATAGCCACTCTCTGGTTAGTTATAGTTGTTTCATTCATCCAGAATGTCCAATAAAAAGCAAATCCAGACTTAGGGATAGACTTTTTTCTAAAGGATTATTGCACAGTGCTGGGGGAGGGGGAAGGGACTGCTGTGATGGAGAGAATGCTCTGACTGTAAGCTCTATAACCATCTCAAGAGTTAGAGAGAATTTTTCTTTTCTCCAGACACGTTAAGGAAGTTTGAAAGAACTGTGATGTGAGAAGGGGGATGAAAGGGTAGTGGATCAAATTACTATCTGATCTTTCTACTGATTAGGGAATCTTCTACCTCTCAGGCTAAGGGTGGGTCAAAAGTTATTCGGAGACCTGGGGGAAGGACAGAAGCCTAACCCAATTTTGGCTAACAAGTATTTAGTTCCAACAGACCACTGAAGATAAGCAGTTCTGTTTATTATTGTAAACAAAAATATAATCTTAAGCCCCTGTGCTTACTAAATGGACTCCTTCTTGGACAGGGAGACCCCAGAATACCCTAATGCTGAGCTGTTGCCATGAGACGAAGGTCCTATATACCTCATCAAGTACCCCAGCCTTCTTGGAGATATGCTATGTAACTCACTAATAAACATATAGGACTTGTTTGGTACCAGATTGAAAATAGCTTGTTATCTTCACTGCTTAGAGCACAGAAGGGGCTTAACACAATGCTTATTTAATTAATTTGAGTGTATATTTGACTAACCTGAGTGAAGCCCCGCCATTGACTGGGGGGCTGTTTCTCACCCTTGCCTGGTGGCCAGCCTCAAGGGTCTCTGTAGCAGTCAGGAGCTAACCAAGAAACCACTCATGGTATTCACAGCAGGGGGAGGGGTCGGGGGCCTGAATGCAGGGGTGTGGTCCCCTACTAGAAGTTAAATCCCTCCTTGCAAACCACTTAAGCTCCTCATCCTTAACTTTCTGCAAAATGGAGGATATAGTCTCCTAATTTTAGGGTGCTTTTAGGAGTAAATCAGATTACTAAATTATGAGTTCCTTGGGCCCATAAATATTAACTGGGCACATACTAGGTGTAAGGCAGCTTTCCTAAGTTCTAGGGATACAACTGTGAAC